TTTTTTTTTTTTTTTTTTTTTTAAGTTGGGTCAATATACTTCATTATAACAAGCCAGGCCACAATAGCAAGAAAGTTTGCTTCACTGAGGAAAAGGTAGAGACAATGTGGCCAGAACCATCGCAGACAGCTGGGAAATTTACAGAATGATAAAAACTCAGAAATGCCCAACATAAAGTTTTAATGTCTTAATAAAATCTGATTAATGAAAAATAGATAAAGTGACTGCTTAACAATGTCCCCAGTGTATGGAATGTTCTTAAACCCAAATTAATTACTGCATATTTACATTTCTCTGTAGACTGAGAGAGAGGCTCTGCTAGGCATCTGGACAGAGTGGCATCCTTTCTCTTTTTCATTATTTCTTTTTTTTTAAAAAAAAAAATTTTAACATGCCAATTTAAGGTAAAGTGGTATGCAAGGCTTGTAGAAGAAGGAACAATGGGTTAGTGCCTCCACAGGAAAAAAGGGCAGAGCTAGAAAAGACAAAAGACGTGGATGGGAGCAGTGGGGATGGGGACAGTAGAACAAGTTCAACGTTTGCAGTCACCGGTAGTGTGCTCTCAGAACGTTCTCTGTTCTAGTGAATAGCTTGTAGAAAGGAAAAGCTCAAGGATGTAAAGCAAGCCTCTGCTGGGAGGAAGAAAATATACTTAGCTGCTTCACTGCTGCACTGCACGAGTCATTTCAGACTCCCACTGAATTTATTTTGGGGTTGTACCAACACTGTCAAATGGAGAAGTCATTTTCCTAAAAGGAAACTTTGCGTATTCCTAAGCGCTTTTCTTAGCTAAAGTTACCCTAAAAGCTTTCTTCTTTTGCATTTGCTGAGAATTTTGGAGAAAGAGTAATACTTTTCTATTACCTGGGTTGCACAGAATGACATCCCACTCTCCTAAAATCTACCCGTAGAAGTAAGAGTGCTTATTCCTTCATTTAAAAGATTCCTTTACTATCGGGCTGAATAGCTTTTAACTTCATTGAGATGTTTTGAGAAAAGGACTTCATTGCTTAAGTTTGTGGTTCTAGGGGTGTAGGATTTGAAGAATGGATAGAGTGCCAGTGTAAAGCTGCAGATACTAGTTTTTCACAGTGACAAAAATGAACAGTTTTATTTCTCTGAGATAAGGCTAAAGAATTAATGTGTTTGCAGACTATTCATTAATGTCCTGCATGCACTAATTTAATTTGTTGTGCTTATGCTTGGCTAGGAAGAAGTTGACTGTTACAGATTATGGATTTTAATGAACAYCTCAATAATTTACCAGTTGCTGAAWTTGTGAACTAATCTTGGAAGGCAAAAGCCCAAATGAGAGAGCTGATGAGTGACACACCAGCCTGCACAATTCGACTGTTGTGTTCATTGCTTTTGAATCAAATTGGGAGTTTGGCATTACTAATTCTGGGTGGCTGGCTCATCATATGCATTCAAGGAGTTAATTAAAACACACACAAACACATACACAGTCTCCCACCAAGCATCTTGCGGTGTTTATGTGCACAGTGTGTTTGATTGGTACCTTTGCATGGGAGAGGAATTGTTTTTCCTTCTCTTTCTGTCCAGAGATCTTAAATATGTATCTAGTTTACAAAATATTTACTGCTTCTCAGGGAGCTTTAATGAGCATTTATGGCTTTATCATTTAGGAGGCATAGAGTATCTGGTTGAGTTACTTAAAAGTGAAGCTTCCTGATAGGAGAGGAATATGTGTGTACAATGTGATATATCTGAAGCTGTATAAAATAGACTTTAAACAATATTTA